TAGTACATGGATGGAGCCAATGAAACCAGTTGCTACGGGCTCGGTTCGGTTGGTGTGACTAGTTCGTAACTACAAAGTAACTATCGGAGTTTCCATACTATAACTTGTAACAGTATACATCTGTTTATACTTAAGTTTATTGTTTCATTGCCCTTTGAACCATGTCTAACTAATAATCACGCCACACTCAGCGAATGCACAGCTCATGTTGCCATATCAAAATACGGGCTGCTAGCAAATTTTAATTATTATGTATTCAAATGTATTCATTTTCAGGAACATCCAACTAGTTTATAATTTATTCATTCATTCTAAAGGGTCCAACGTTTTTGTGCCTACTTACTCAGATTGCATTGTTACACATTCTAATGTAAGGTCTAGCCATTACAGCCACTCTAACAATGTCGGGATTCAATGTGCATTTAAATGTTATATTACAACAAAAGCAAGATGAATTTAGATTTGTATTCACTATCTTATCTAATCTAACCTGATCTAACCTAATAAGTTTATTACTTTTATAATGATAAATAAAGAATACACATGAAAACAAGGTATATAGTACTCACCTTCAAAAATGTTACAAACTATTCTGCTGCTTCTTTTTTCCCCACTTCAAACACTGTGCATATTTACACAGTGCTGATCACAACTTGAATTTGGCACTGAATTATTCGGTTAAAGAAATATCAGAAGTGAAACATTTTTATGACAATACTGAAAAATTTTATACTTTTATCGGTCACAGCATTAAAAGGTGGGCGAGATATTATTTTCATTTGTGCTTTCCTAAGAAATATCCAGTCGCATTAACATTAGTTTGAAAAGGTTTTTCCTACTCAGCGGTCGTCACGGTATGAATCGCTCTTTGTTCCGAGATTTGATATTTAGATATCATAAAGGCACTAACAAAAATCACGTTTTGGAGGGAAAATGCAAATGAGTGCAATGAGACTTCGATGTGACAGAAATCATTGGTGAAATTTAGTTTTATTTTTCTTGTTGTGCTCCAAACCAAGACTTTCGAAAGGTTGAACTGTTGTGTTAAAACTGTTGCAGTCTAAACACAGAATTTGCTAAACAGTGCCACTGAAGATCTTGTTACCATCACAATTAAGTTCTAAGTAGTCAAAACGCATTACTTAAATTGTTAAAAAAAAAAAAAAATGAAGAGAACAAAGTTTGAAGAAATGCACAGGAGGAAAGTAATATGTCATTTTGACGAGTTATGTGGAGACGAACGTGTTTTATAGGTGTCTAGAAATAATAACTGCACAACTTTCTAAACAATTTAAAAGCTTACAAGCAGTATGAAGGTGATGTAAAACTTGCTAATCATTTTAGCATGATATTTCTTCTGCTTTTCTTGGACAGATGCTACCATTCAGATCATAGATAAATCAAAGCAATCGTCAGTGAAAGATATGGCAAAAGTACTAATTGTTGACAACAGTGTGTTAGCGTCCAGCTTTCCAGAAGTTTGAACTGTACTTTTGCTATTTCTCAACATCCCATTAACAGTAGGAAGTGATGAATATTCATTTTAAAAACTCTAACTAGGAGAGAACTACACAGGGAGCGCTATGGGATAGGATAAACTTCCTGGATTGGGAATGTTATCAATTGACGATGAATGATCTAGAAAAATGAACCTGCAGCAGATAATTGACAATTTCGCTGAATGAAAGGCACACAAAATGCCATTCATATACATGAGTAGAATACTTTCCTATTGTATATATTTTCCTACTGTCTCACATACACACGTATTTCGACAGTTAAATGTTACTAAGTTTTAAAACGTTGTACTGGTTTGTTTATAAACGTTATTCATTCAAATTTAAACGGGGTGGGGCGGGTGGTTCCACAATGAAAACCTGCACTGTGGCCTATGTTTCTCTTCCCCCACTTCTGCTTGTCCTTGAAGGATAATTAATGCTTTGAGACAAATACTGTATTTTATTCACGAGCATAAAACAGGTATAAACGAGTCATGAATATACACTATCCTACCAAAAGTCATGGGACACAGGTAGTTATGAATAAGACATGTCTTTATTCCAAGAAATTAATAGCGTGTTGGCCCGCCTGCGGCCTTAATGACTGTTTCAATGCATCTGGTACAAAGCTAGTGGTATTGTGCTTCTCTCCTCCAATAAAACATTAGTAAGCTCCACTATTGAAGAGAACTGTCTTGGCCTTGCCCATAATTCTGCATTCCAGTTCATCTCAAAGATTTTATATCAAGTTCAAGTCGGGGGCTCTGTACTGGCCACTGCAACGTTCCGATGTTATTCTCTCCAAACCACGCGTTTACAATCCTTGCTTTGTGACATGGAGCATTATCATGTTGGAATTCGGTGACGAGGAACCCACGTTGAGATTGACTGTTATGCTAAACTTATATTAATTTTTTTCTTCATTACCCATTCAAGCCGTCTCCAGCCATTATTATATCATGTTGGAAGTTGTAAGGGCCGGTACCATAAAATTACCACAATGTAGGACTCAGCATTCATGGATCCATGCACTGCGATCAGTGGACCTAGTCCATACCACGAGAAGCACCCCACCTCCAAACTTCACTGTTAGGACAACACAATCAGATAATAAGCGTTCTCCAGGCATCCTCCATACCCAAACACGTCCATCAGACTGGAAAAGCATGTAGCGTGACTCGTCGCTCCACAGGACCGATTTCCATTGATCCAAGGTCCAGGTTCGGTGTACCTTGCCCCATGTCAGTCGACGGTGTGCATTTATATTTGTTATCAACGGCTTGTGGGCTGCAGCTCTTCCGGGAAAATTCATGGCATGCAGCTCTCGAGGTGTCATGGAAACACTTATAGGATTGCCTGTGGCTGCTCGCATCTCCAAACTCAGATTCTCTAGGGTCTGACGGCGAGATGAGGTAATCAGCCTTCTCAAGGCGCATCGGCTCCTGTCAGTCAGTAATTAATGTCTACCTGGTCGTTTACTGGGCTCATGTTTACTTGTGGACTTCCAGTTCTTTAGCACGTTGCCAATTTTCGACCTGGGAATGTTTAATTGTTGCGCAATAGCACGTACAGACATTTACCCTAAATAGCATTCAACTATCCTTCCCCCTGAAACTCTTAGTTTTTCAAAAGATGATATCTGTGATTATAATGTACATAAGAGAAATAAAAACTTAGTGGATTTAAAATCGTGATGATAGCATCTTCTGGTACAAAAATTATAAAATATTAATTTTTAACGTTAAAAGAGGGTATATACTTGCGTTAAATTTTAGCAATTCGAAGGGAACCTGATAGCATATGAAATCTTTAGAATAAGAATCCCTGTGAAACAATGTTTGGATGCAAATGCGTTATTTCAAAAGGATCTATGTAAATAGGTAAACTAGATTCAGACTATCCATTAAGGCTGTCAGGTCAAAGTATTTGAGTATCATATGAAGTCTCAAGAATTGTTTCAAAACGATAATTTCCCAGTTACTAGTTTAAAGGTAACCCGGAGGGATAATGTCATTGGAAAATATAAAGCACATCGAGTATAGCTTTGTCTTTAATTTCTAAATTAATTAACTAAATCTGTGATAATTATTTCAATTGTTGTTTTTTCTACAGGAGCATGGCAATACAGAATGATAATAAGCTATCAAGATGTCAGCAATGAAGATTCAAATTCAATCACAATTTTTGGCTTAATATTAATGGCTACTTGGTTTTAATACCTAGAAATATGTCAGTGTTTGCTCGTGTTAATTGTGTTCAGACTTCATAAAATAAGCATAGGCTAAAATTATTTTGTTTAAAACTGTAAAAAGGAAAATATTCCATATAAAAAGCCATTCTTCGAGCGTGGATTCGCATCAACTAGATTGGTTTACCATAAACATTTGGTTTGTTTGAATTTCGCGCAAAGCTACACGAAGGCTATCTGCGTTAGCCGTCCCTAATTTAGCAGTGTAAGACAGCTAGGAAGTCATCACCACCCACCGCCAACTCTTTTACCAACGAATTGACATTATAACGTTCCCCACAGCTGAAAGGGCGAGTATGTTTGGTGTGATGGGGATTCGAACCCGCGACCCACAGATTGCGAGTCGAGGCCAATCATTTGGTTTGTACCTTGCAATATGTATTTTGATTCATATAATGAAGCTTACGATTGTCTTGTCACAGCAGTAAACAAAGCCGTTTCGATTCATCATTATTTCAAACATTTGCAGAGTATAATTATTTTATAAAAAATTTACCAGTCAGTTCTCATAGTAGTAATTTCCTTACTTAAATAAATTATTATTAGCATTTAAACTTTTATCGTTATTATTGAGTAATAATCGTTCCATGTCGAATAGTTAAAAATTCGTGTGCATATATCATATACAAATGTTAAATATTACATAGATACAGAAAATACTTTTTTGCTTGAAGTAGAACAAAAATTAAATTTGTTTATTACACAAATATCACAATATATGATATGCTTATTTAATGAGTAGTATTTTATTAATAATAACAAGTAGATTAGCTACTAATATTTTAATGAAAGAACTGGAAAATGACCAATTTATTAATTTACTCAGGGATAGAATGTTTTATCTTGCTTCA